TTTTCTTCCACCATGTTGTGTAACTAAACCAAAAGTTGAAACAAACGATGTAACTTAATTTTGATTATGAAGTTGTGAATTTCAATTAATGTTTGTGTATTATTTTTTCTTCTATTATTGATGACTATGAATTACTTAATCACCATTGACTTGTCATCAATGACGAATCAAGATGTGAGTTATTTATTTAGATCACGTAGTAAAAGTCGGAATTCTTTGATGATTGAGTTCTCTTAATTAAGGTTTACCTCGATTCATCTAAAAATATAGTGAATTGACTTAAGTTAATTAGGATTGGTTTAAACTCGAGATAGATAAAACAATTAATTCAGAAGAATTCACTAGTAACACATAATTGATTTTTATCAAAGTTTGGTTATTGAAATTAAGGGAATAGTTATGATGAACTCTGGAATTCTAATACTTACAAAGTTATAATACATCGGTTTAAAATCTAAATTTTTTATTTGGGCATTTTTAAATTATTTTCCTAGATTTATAATATTTAGGATCATAATGTTGTAAAAGACAAACGAAAAACAAAATAAAAGATAAAGATTTAATTGGTAGAGTAACGAAGTATTTTATTCAATTGACTAATATGGAGAAAATAAATACAATATATGTGTCGACACAATTATTCTATATTTCAATAATAAAAAACTTGTGAAAATAATCTAGTATTTATAGGGGTGCATACCAAATCCTAAAAATATATAGAGATGGAAATAAGATCAAAAAGCACTCGTAATAAATGACATAATATTTTCCTAATAAAAACACAGGAAAAGAAGGAAAAAATAATTTCTCAAAAATCCAACAATCTTCATTTTGACATAAATTCAAATGCAGCGAACGAAATTCCAAAAATTTTCCACTTGAAAAACTAAATCCTACTGCAACGAAAAATTAGTACTTTTCAACAAAAACCAAACTTTTTTCAACACAAAAATACTTCTCGTCTCCTATGGTATCCAACACGGATACATGAATCCAAACACCGAGTTCTCCAAAATTCACAAAGAATTAGAAACTACCAAAAAGTGTCGAAGCATACCTTGCAACATAATCAACTCCCAATGCTTTCATTGAAGGCCATTGATTAGTCTCGACACCTTCAATAACACTAAAAGCACATGTAACCAAATCAGCATTCATGTACCTATCTCTAATGGGTATATTATTAACGCTTGAATACGATGGATCTGTAGGTAGCAAAATTACTTATATCTTCCTAATTCGACTGAGTAGTATTCTTCAATATCAACCTCAAACCAAATCCCAAAGGTACAGTACCAAACTGAATCTCCACCACGGTACTTAATCTATGCTAACTTTTCTTTACAAATTCTACTCGACCTTGCAAAATGTATAATTGGAACCTCTCCCACCTCTCCAATACAGCATGAACACCCTTTCAAGCTTTCAAGACTCCATCTCTTCTAGAGAACGTGTACCTTTTGAATCAATAGTACTCAACGAAATGAGATTTTTCTTCAAATCTGAAATATGTCAAACGTGATCAAGTGATCTACATGTTCCATCCACTAATTTCAATCTGACTTTACCAATACCAGATACCTGACAAGGTTTATTGTTACCCATGGCAACGAAAAATTGCGTAACCGTTTCATATATTTCAAATAAATCCCGATTGGGACACATATGAATACACAAGTTGTATCCAAATTCACTCCTCATCAGGTTTGGATTCCATGTTAGAAATCGTCAAAACAGTATGAGCCAAGTTAGAAACAATTCCTTTCGAAATTCTCATATTCAATGTATCACTCGAATAAGTATTGATATTGTTAACCGTATTCGTTTCTGTTTAAAAAACAAAAGATAAACCGACAAAATCAAAATTTGAGAAGGAGTAGAAAAAGTTAAACCGAAACGGAATCAGTTTAACTGAATAGAAATGAAATATAAAGTTATCACTCCACAAAAGTAATTCGACTTAATATTGTTGATGTAAAAGTGAAATGAGCGATGACTTTAAAAACAAACTTACAAACCTTACCAAATTTGGACAAATTAATAGCATCGAATTGAAAAATAAATCACAAAATGATCAAACTACCACCACATGATGACGTCAAAGTTGAGACAAGAGTTGAACTCTTTATCTTTAAATCGGTGCTTGCAGATGATGACAATCAACTCCCAAGATACAGTGACAATCTTTTTGTGTTGGTAGCACTCTAAAACACAAGAATCAACTAACCAAAATTAGACTATTGTAGTTCTTTTGAATGAAATGGAAAACTAGCATTTATGTTGGAATTTTATATTATGTTATGAGTTCATATCACTGTGATGATTAAACGGACGCCTCAAAGATTTTATTTATAGAAGATGAAAGATTGTTATTGAAGTGTAGCACTTCAAAACTCAGCAAAATTTGCCAAGGGTCACAATTTTTGTTGTCGCTAACTTGTTGCATGTACGTTCTTCAAACGTCAGAATCAGAGAGCTTGTCACTCGCTTGTCGCTCAAGCGACAACCTCACCACTCGAGCGTTTTCAAGCAGTGAAGTTAGATAAATATCTAGTCAGTTTTCTCTCTTTCCTTCCAACTTTAGGCCATAATTTCTCATTCACACGAAATTGGTTTTGAAATTCCAAATATACAACGATGAGTAGAAGATATTAGTCTATTTATTTTTATAATTTGATTATTGAATCAACTCCAAATATTTAACCTAAGTTGACATGAAAGTCACATTTCCATATTTAATCAATTCCAAAAAGAACTCGATTGAATCGACGTCTTGCTTTACATATCTATGTAATAAACACTTTCAAGCACGTTGAACTCTTGCCGGTTTCAACTTTAACAGAGAGAGAGAGAGAGAGAGAGAGGAACACTTTGATTGCAATAAGAACTTGTCTGCTGCTGATTTCCTTCCAAAGAATTGTTTTTTGAGCCGTTAATTTCTGACCGTTAGACACAACAATCTGTCAGAAATGCTGATTTTTTGACCGATGCCTTCTTCAACGGTCAGAAAAGCCATTCTTTTGGACATTTTAATCAGCAGCAGACAAGCCCTAAGTTGTAGGAAACATATATTACAAATTGCATTGTATGCTGAATTTTCCAACATAAGTGTCAGAACATAGTTTAGGTAACTACACTCAATAAATTCAATTAAATGAATCATATGATATTGTATTTAAGTGAACCTATTATTTATTGTTATACAATTGCCACTTAAACGACATTCAACATTAGTGGTGCTGAATAATATTGTTTTTTCTAAAATCCTTGAAAATAAACTCAATTATTGCAGAGTTCAACACATGTTTTTCTTCTTGCTTTGTTTTGTTTGTTTGTTTTTCTTCTCTAAGAACAAAAGTTTGAATTTAAAAATAATTGAAATATGTTAAATTCATGCATGGTTGGCGGGAATCAGTCAAGGAGTGGGGCCGGGCTGCCTCGAGATTTTCTACTGTGTCTGTGTGCTGGCTATCTCAGAGCTTGGTTGTATTGACACGTCTTGCTTTACATATCTATGTAACAAACACTTTCAAACAAGTTGAACTCTTGTAGGTTTCAACTTTAACACACACACACATATAGAGAGGGAGAGGGAGAGGGAGAGGGAAAGGGAGAGGGAGAATAATAAATTAAATGGTAGGGGACAAATTGCAGACTGGCATTCTTTATCTTGTGTCCACCACAAGATGAAATCAAAGTCGAGACAAGAGTTGAACTATTTATCTTTAAATCAAATTTGCCCTGCAATGGCGCTTGTGGATGATAACAATCAACTCTCAAGATACAGTGACAATCTTCTTGTATTGGTAGCACTCCAAAACATAAGAATCAACGAACAATATTAGGTTATTGTAGTCATTTTGAATGAAATGGACAAACAACTTTTATGCTGGAATTTATGATATGTTATAATTTCATATCATTGTGATGATTAAATTGGACATCCCAAAGATTTTATTCTAGAAGAGGTTGTTATTGAAGTGATGCGCCTCAAAACTGAACAACCTTTGCCAAAGGTCGTAGTTTTTGCTGTCGCTAGCATGTCGCATGTTCATTGCTTGAACGTCAGAAACGGAGAGCTTGTTGCTCAAGCGACAGCCTTACCGCTCGAGTGTTAGGCGAGCGGTAGAGTTAGCTAGATACCCAGTTAGTTTCCTCGCTTTCCTTCCAACTTTAGACCGTAATTTCTCATTCACACGAAATTGGTTTTGAGATTTCAAATATACAACGATGAGTATAACAAATTAGTCTTTTTATTTTCATAATTTGACATGAAAGACACTTTTCCATATTTATACTTAAATCAATTTCAACAAGAACTCGATTGAATTGACGTCTTGCTTTACATATTTATGTAATAAACACTTTCAACCACGTAAAACTCTTGCAGGTTTCAAATTTAGGATAGAGAGAGAAGAACGCTTGATTGCAGTAAGTTGTAGGGGAAAAATATTACATATTGCATTGCAGGCTGAATTTTCCAATGGAAGCGTCAGAACACCAATTTAGGTGACTACACTCTACATATTCAATTAAATGAATCATATGACCTTGCATTTAAGTGAACCTATTATTTATTGTCATACAATTGCCACTTAAACTGACGTCCAACGTTAGTTGTGCTCAATAACATTGCCTTTTTATAAAATCCTTGAAAATAAACGGAATTTTTGCAGAGTTCAACCCATGTTTTTCTTCTTGCTTTGTTTTGTTTGTTTGTTTTTATTTTTAGGAACAAAGGTTTGAATTTAAGAAGCATCGTTATGGAAGAGGTTTTATCACGTATGCTATGTAAAAGGTTTGAAGATGGCAGAATTGCGAGGTTCTATCACCCTGTTGGGGCCCCTTTAGTTTCACATCTATTGTATGCTGATGATGTGGTAGTGTTTACGAATGGAGGTAGACAATCAATGAAATTGTTGATGAAGACTCTGAACACTTACGAAAAGTGGTCGGGACAATTAATAAATATTGAGAAATCAACTATTTTCTTTTCTAAAATGATCAACTACTCAAGGAAGAGAGGGTTGCTTTGGTTAACTGGTTTTAAGGAGGGACTTTTTCCAGTGGTTTATTTAGGGGTGCCTATTACCTCGGGTCGTCTTATGGCTAGACATTTGGAGACTTTGGTTGCTAAAATTCGCACCAAGATAGCAGGTTGGAAAATGAGGCTACTTTCCCAAGGGGGTCGTCTAATTTTAGTTTGTCATGTCTTGTCCTGTATGGCGAC